GTTTGGAAATTTTCCTTTTGAAAATGATAAATTATATATACACAGTATGTAAAGGGCTTAATAACATGGCTCATTATTTTCTTAACAAACATGTCCATGTTCACCCAATCTTTTGACCTTTTATTTTAGGTGCAGATGCAGGTTTGTAGTATTGTTACTTTTAGTTGCTATTTTATCATAATTTTTTTACAACAAATTCGACATACTGGCTAACACGAATTAAGTAGTTCACCACGGTAATTGGGTTTGAATCCAAGAATACAAAAAATAATAAAACGATTAATTGATTTATTGACTGTCGTGACAGACCTAATGAGTCGAGTTCAGATTCAACAGAAGTTTAAAAACAGCCGAGTCACAAAGTGTCGTTTCCTCCAGGTTCTCTGCCGACGACAGCGACATCGAGGGGATGGAGGTGATCGCTGAGGACGGAGAGCAATTAAAGGATGAAGAAGAGAGAAGTCAGGAGGAGGAGGAGAGTCAGGAGAAAACGGGCCGTCCTGAGGAGATGGATGCCTCACCTGAAGGAGGTGAAAAACAAAAACTGAGCAGGTCGATTTACAAAGTGACAGAACAAAAATGAAAGAGGTTGAATTCACAGATGATGACATCGAGGTGAAGAGCATGGACCTGGATGATGAGGAGGAGGAGGAGAGCGGGGTGATGATTGAGGAAGAGCATGAAGCTACAGACATGGAGGATGACGAGGTAAAAACATGAAAACCAAATGTTTTTAGTTGTCTACAAGCTTTAACCATGATGGTTCCTGTGAAGGAGTCGGGTTTCCCGGTGGACCTGGAGAACTGCATCACTCTGGATGAAGTGGGCTCTGATGAAGGTAGACCAACAGAAAACTAAACCTTCAGTTCTGGTCCCTTCAGGTTCTCATGCTCCTGTCTGTTGCAGGTGGATCTGATCCGGAGGCTGGATTTGGATCTGAGGTGAGTGGTTCTGGTCTTGTTCAGTCGGGTCGTGATGATCAGTAAAAACTTGAGTCTCTGGTTTCASCTCTGACGGATGCAAATCTACAAAGTTTCATAAATAAWATGGATAACTGGTGGATGAAAACAACTTTTATCAATATTTACAAATAAAAAATTTAGTTAACTTAAAAATTAATCCAATTAATGACAAGAATAAACTAATAGAAATTTTTATTAATGCGTTTAATTAAAAAAATTAAGGGGAAAATCATTTCACTCTTTTATAAAAACCTAATAGATCGTAAAGGGATCCCTGATTAGTTGTAACATTAGACTTTATTTGACAAACATATTTTAACTGTAAAATMAAGACTGTAAAAATACTGTAGGATGTTTAGTTCTTACAAATTTTAAACTAAAAGTTTAAAAATATATTTTAACACGGATGGAGCCATTTTATTTGCACACAAAGCATTCTGGGTAAATGATGACGTGGATAGGTCCTCGGTGCGAGGCTGCTAGCGAGCTATATCCACCCTGAAGGTTAATCTTGGACAATATCTGATGATCGACTCTTTTAAATGAAACCAGAGAGCGTTGACAGAGAGGAGAAGGTAGAAATGACTCGGCCTGGAACTGAAAATATGGATGGAGGACAACAGGTTAGCTTGTTTTTCGCGCTAGCACCGAGCTAATACATATAAGACAATGTAGCGTCAGCGCTAACGCTAAAGCATTTTTAATGCGACACTTCTAAATGCGCATCAAAAAGCCTTGATGGAAACACGGTTTATGTTAACTTGTTCTGTTAAAACTCTTCTCTTGAGAATTAATAAAGACAGAAGTTCTGGTTTCAGGTCTCAGAGTCCAGCAGAGTCCTGTTCTTCAGCTCCATGCCGGAGGACTACAGCGACGTGGAGTTCGTCCAGGTGATGAAGGGTCTGGGGACGGTGGTCTGGTACCTCCTGGTGAACGACCGGCGCCAGGTCAGAACTCTTCTGTCAACCAGAAATCGTCCGTTCTGATTGGGTCCAACTGACGGATGAATGAACTCCGTTTCAGGGCTTCATCGAGATGTCCACTCCCTCAGAGGCTCAGACTGCGGTCCAGGTTCTGGAATCTGAAATGGTCCTCCTGAACGGGACCAGACTGATGGGCTGCTTGTCCCAGGAGTACCTCAGACTCACAGACGGGTCAGAACCTCGCTCCGCTCTCGTCCTATTTCCCACCTGTCCCCACTAACCTGACGTCTGTTTACAGGTGGGCCGTCCCATCGATCGGAGACGAGGGACAGAACCTTGACGAGTCCAGCTCTGACAGGACCGCTTTGGATCAAAGGATGAGGTCCAAAGACATTCCAGAAGAGGACACATCTGGAACGACAGAGCTGGAGACATGTGAGACGCTCCAGGAGGCAAAGACCGACGAGACTTCAGAGCTGGAGACATGTGAGACGTTCCAGGAGACAAAGACCGATGAGACTTCAGAGCTGGAGACATGTGAGACGCTCCAGGAGACAAAGACCGACGAGACTTCAGAGCTGGAGACATGTGAGACGCTCCAGGAGACAAAGACCGAYGAGACTTCAGAGCTGGAGACATGTGAGACGCTCCAGGAGACAAAGACCGAYGAGACTTCAGAGCTGGAGACATGTGAGACGCTCCAGGAGACAAAGACCGACGAGACTTCAGAGCTGGAGACATGTGAGACGCTCCAGGAGACAAAGACCGACGAGACTCCAGAGACAGAGACCACTTCAGTCAGAAGGACAAGGTCTAAAAGAATTCCACAGACCACGTCAGACAGAAAGACGAGGTCCAGAAAGACTCCAGAAAAAGCTTCTCAGAGGAGGACCAGATCTAAAGGGACTCCAGAAGAGACAGAGACCGTTCCTGAGACGAGTCCAGACACAAAGACATCAGTGGAAGAGACACCAGAGACAGAAGTGTCTGAGAAGACTCCAGAAAAACTCACCTGTGAGACGGAACAGACAGGAAGAAAGACGGTAAAGGGTAAGACCCCGCCCAGGAAGAGTCCAGAGACCAGGACCGACAAGAGAAAGGGACCTCCTGAGGACGACGCAGTGCCTCTGAAAACCCCCAAGACAGACCCAGAAGACGAAGCTCTTAAAGAAACAAACCAAGCAAAGGATGGGAAAGAAAAGTCCAGTCTGGACCGTCCAGAACCACCGGAGCAGGTATGTTAGCAGAGACACGCCTGCGTCATGCAGAGCAGCTGAGACTAGACCTGATCTGGGCTCTGTTTTCAGGACTCTGACCAGCCTGCACCAGCAGAGGGTGCTACAGAACCAGAGAAACCTTCCAAACCTGTTGGTAAGTTCTGGACCCAGCAGGGCTTACTCTACAGCAGGGTGTTAAATCCATAGAAATAAATATAAAGGTTAGATAAGTCACACGGCAGCCATCTTAGGACAGTCAGCAACACTAGCTGTAGCTGTGGTGAAAAATGTGTAATTCACTGAAATCTGGATGGATTTACAAACAGCTTAGTTTATTATAAGTGTTATAAATGTGGCTGTGATTTGGAGTAATCAGACAGCAGTTTGTCTTTTTTAAAAAGTAATAGTTAGTACTAATATTAGTTAATAGAGGCACATCATATTATTTGCATTTGTRGGAAATAAACTGGGCATAAATTATTTCGCATTAACTACTATTGATTATGATATATTAATACTATTTATCAGCATTCAAAAATGTCAATTAACGTTTTTTTATATAAACATACATTTCTAAAAACATGTAAATATAATCTTATTGTGTATATTGCAGTTGCTTTACCTACAGTATCTGCAGTGTTTTTTCCATGTGAACGTCCAGTTTAAGTTATTCTGTATTATAACATCTGTCACATTTACCCCAAACAAAACTGTTTTAAAATCAGTTGAAAATTAAGAGATAGTGTTTTTTTTTATTTTAAACTAATTTCCTTTTTCTCTTTTTTGTAAGGAATAAATTAAAATTGTGGGTTTGTGTGTAAGGTATTATGTAAAAGAATTATAAAGGCTAATATTTGCATGTCTAATGTAAAAAATATAAAACAGGGTTCTTTCATATTACCACTGCTAGTACTATTTTTGACTTGTGTATAATTTTGCTTTATATTTTTATTAGTAAATACCTGTAAAAGTAATCTATATGTATTCTGTGTATATATTACTTATCAAAATAATGTAATTATTATATGAATGTCCTTTATAATTTTTATAACATCTCACATTTACAACAAAAAACTGTTTGAAAATCTGATCAAAATTGACCAAGTTATGGTTATTTAGTAAATACACCACATTCACGTTGTGTGGGCCAGCTCCCTGTCCCAAGATGGCCGCCGTGTAAGGACGCCTCATCTGGCCTTTATATATATCTATGGTTCAATCACCTGTGGTGCGTTCACTGTCCCCTTGGTGTTCTCGGTGTTGCAGGACCAGAGTTTGTGCGTCCGGTCGTCGGATACTTCTGCAACCTGTGTCAGCTGATCTTCATCGACGAGGACGAAGCCAAGCTGCAGCACTGCAGCACGCCGGAGCACTACAGGAAGTACCAGGTCGCCACGCAGACCATGTGTTCCTCCCTTCAGCTGTTTGCAGATTCTGCTTCTTTTTAACGCTTCTGTTGTGTTTTTGTTTCAGGAGAAGACCGGGAAGGATCCGTGGTCCAGCTGAATGTGGAGCAGTCAGTTTCCTGTAAATATTTTAGCTTTTAAATTAAACAAAATGTCACGTTTTAATAAAACGCTTTATTCTGTAAAATCTAAACACAAATCAGCCGACATTCAGCAGTGAACAGGAACTACTTCATGTTTTATCATGTTCCAGGATGTAGACAGAGCCCGGACAGTAATTGTTTTTTTTTCTTGAACTATAATTTTACATCTCACAAAAAAAATTAAAAATGAGAAGAAGAAAAATCATCGYCATCATCGTGTCTCACGCTGCAGTCTTCACTTTCTTCTTTGTTGCTTTTGTTTGTTCCTTCTCCAGGTGTTTCTGGAAATAAAGATGTTTGTTGTTTTCATTTGGGTCATGAATAAATCCTGACTGATTGACAACCTGAGCTTCAGTGTCTGATCCGGCTTTGTGGGCGGGGCTTGCGTCTCACCTGCAGCTTGTCGTAGTGCGCCTGGCTGCTGCAGTGGCTCTTCATGGCCGTGTCTTTGTTGGAGTAAAACAGGAAACAGATGCGGCAGTAGTAGCCCATCTTCACGTGTTCCACACCTGCACAAACCCACCAATCAGCAAGCAGCATCAGTTACAGGAAACGCCACGGGGGCGGGTTCTCACCGATGGGGACCTCCGGGTCGTACGGCGGCAGCGGCAGAGACGCCGGGCGGGGTTTAACATCAGCAGGGGGCGGAGCCTCTGTTTGTTCATTCTGATTGGACGTGTCCATGTCCTCCTCCTTCGGTTCCTGATTGATCTCTTCCTGTTGATCTTTGACCTCAGCAGCAGCCTGATAGAAACAGATTAATCAGCTGTTGTTGGGATTATTAATCAGGATTATTGATCAGCTCAATCTGACTCACATCCATTTTTTTCTCCTCAGAAGCTTCTGGAAGTTCTTCGGCAGCGTTTTCTGTTCTTTGCTCCTCCTCCTCCTCCTCCTCTGGCTCCGCCTCCTTCAGTTTCTTGGCCGGCGGCTCATCGGAGGGTTGGGGGGATCGTGGTGGCGACCTGCTGCTCGACCTCTTTGCCGCGTTTGGATACTGAAAACTAAACAAACAAACGTTTATTTCAGATCCTAACTGAACCAGGAAGTGGAGCAGAAGGCAGAATAATCCGGTTCAGACGTCAACAAACGGACCTGTTGCGGAGCACCTGGTACTTCCTGCTCACGTAGACCAGCAGGCGGCGTCCCTGAAGCTTCAGCGGCGACTCTTTACTCGCTTCGGCCATCTTCTCAGCATCTTCTGGTTTGACCATCTCGATGAAGCACTGCGGGGAGACGGATTAACGTTCAGACCGTTTGAACCCAACTCCGTCTGTCCGACCCGGTTCTGGTTCTGTACCTCTCTCCTCCGCCTGAGCAGGGAGTATTTCCGGACACTTCCGAACGGCTCGGCCAGCTTCAGGACTTCTTCATCTGTGTATTTACCGAGGCTGGGAAGCTGACCGATGTACACGACCCTGCTGGTTCCAGTCTGACACAAACAGAATTTAAATTTATTCAAACTTAACTTTATTCAAACAGGATCGAAGTTTTATTGCAGTGATTAATTTGACCTATATGTAGAAAATGTTACATTTACATGATGGATCACATATTGATCAGATGCTGCTGCTGACTGATCCATGATGTCATCATGTAAATGTAACATTTTTTACATATAGGTCAAATTAATCTCTGCAATAAAATAACTTTGCCTGCTTTTGTCACTTTTACAGTGGATTGCATCAAGTCTGTTACATCCAGAAGGGAAACTTCACCAAAGTGAAACATAAATCTGTCGATCTGTGTTTGATTACTCTGCCTGGCTTTCTCAAGGACCAGGATGTGACACAAAAATCTGAATTATGGAACTGAAAGTGAAAGTAGTCAAACTGAATTTTTAATAAACCAAAATACAGTTTCAAAGAAAATTAATTCAAATTCAAAACTTTAATTTCAGTTTCAATTTAGTGAAATTTATTTTCAAAATCAATGAATTCAGTTTCAAATTCTGCACATTCAGATTCAGTTCCTGCTGGCACAAGATGCCCACAGAAACATTTTATAAACAGATAGTTGTTTCCTACTGACTCTTCTGGCTCCTATTCATATGAACTTTATAATTTTCATAAACTGAAAGCACCTGAACCTTTGAACCAACAAACGGATGTGTAAAAACCACAGAAGAAGAGATGGAGGCCCACAGAGGGGACAGGACTCACCCGGATGGTGGGGTAGCACATGGATCGGGCGATCTTCACCGGGCGGCCGCAAACCGTGGCGATCACTTGCCTGCTGTAAAACTTGTGCATGGCTATCGCCTGCGCCTCCTCCTCAAACTGGATGTAGGCCTGAGGAGGAGGAGACTGGCTTAGTGAGGAGGCCTCTGATGAAGAGGAGGCCTCTGATGGGCATGGGCATGACAACTCCCACACAGAAAATAAAAACTCAGTCCAACATATGAAGCGTCAGAAAAACCTTACACAACTGAGTTTTAGCAAGACCCACAAAACACTGAATCTGACCTACCTGAACTACAGGACTCATAAACTAAAAGAGTCCCGAACCACAGGACTCCTGAACCGCAGGACTCCTGAACCGCAGGACTCATGAACCGCAGGACTCATGAACCGCAGGACTCATGAACCGCAGGACTCCTGAACTACAGACTCATGAACCGCAGGACTCATGAACCGCAGGATTCCTGAACTACAGACTCATGAACCGCAGGACTCCTGAACTACAGACTCCTGAACTGCAGGACTCCTGAACTACAGGACTCCTGAACTACAGGACTCCTGAACTAAAGGAATTATGAACTACAGGACTCAGGAACTACAGGACTTATGAACTACAGGACTCATGAACC